CGAGCTCATCGTTACCGCAGCAGTGGGTCGGGGGAGGGAAATTAGCGGCGTGGGGAAAGGGTTACCGGCCCTTCCCGGGGCTGTGAGAGGGGGAATCTAGTCCGGGTGGTGGTCGGAATTGTGGAGGATGCGAGATTGAGGGTTACCTCACCAATGRGCTGGGATGGGGAATTACCGGGGGAGCTGGGCGTTACCGGGGCTCCGGGCAGGGAAAACCTGCAGGGAGGATGCGGGAACCTCGCCGTTATCCCGGTGATGGATAGAGGGTGTGTATGTGTGTGTGTTACCGGGGGTGCGGGGCAGGTGGTGACCCTGGTCCGTGTCCCGCAGGGCTGAGCACCGAGAAGGCCGTCGCCTTCAGCCGGCGGCTGCGGGCCGAGCCGCAGTTCCTGCTGGCCCAGAACGTGGCCACATGCAACGACCCGCTGGAGGTGTGCCTGCAGCGGCAGGTGGTGCAGGACACCGTGCAGGTGTTCCAGCACGCCGTGCCCGCCGAGGGCAAGCCCGTCACCAACCAGAAGAACTCCGGTAAGGGCAGATGGGGCTGGAGGGGGCGTTTAGGGGCTGTCTTGTAATCCTGATTGTCCTCCCGGCAGCGGCGGCCACTCCAGAGCTCTTTGTCTGGGCTTCGGAGCAAAGTTGAATTCCTGCAGCATCTTCCTGAGTTAATAACAGACTTTAGACTTGCAGCGTTTTGCCTCTTTTCTCTTTTGCGTGGTTTAATTGAGACCTGGGCTCGCAGAGGAAGATTTCAGAACTCCTTCTGAGCTTTTTGGTGTTGTAGAACCCCAGCCAAAGGCTCGAGGCAGAACTGTGTCATGAATCTCGTGGTAAAAGAAATTGTTGTGCAGCTCTTGAGCACAGGCGTTCCAGTTTAATTCGTGTTCCTTTGATCTCTCAGGGAGATGCTGGATCTTTTCCTGCCTCAACGCAATGCGTCTTCCTTTCATGAAGAAATACAACATTGAAGAGTTTGAGTTCAGCCAGTCCTATCTCTTTTTCTGGGATAAGGTACAGTCATGCAGGTTGTTGTAGGATTGCTTATGCAATCAGGTGTTAGTGTTGGGACAGAACTTCTTTTAGGCTGGATTGTGTTAAGATATATGAGAARAATCTTCAAAAGTTTTTAAAAAATGTTTTAAATGCAGGTCAAGCGAAGTGGGACTTTGAGCTTGAGAAGAAAGTTGTCAAGATGTTGATGCTTTGGAATAGCAAAATTCTTTTTTTTCAAGAGTTCTGCATATTTCAGAAGTTACTCATTGGAAGTTCAGGGGAAACATGACTGTAACTCAGGTTTCAGTTGTGCTTGTGACCTGATGGGTGAGCTGTGTGCCTGCTTTTCCCCCTAAGGGAAATCAAGCAAATCTAGTACTAGTTTGGGCCAGGCTTCATTGCATAACTTYTGCTTCACATTTCCTGTTCACTTACCCTCCAACTTTAATAAGCTCCTAAATATTTGGTCTGTAACAAAAAATCTTATAGGGTAGCCCTTGGAATGCTGGAGGGGGAAATGAAGACTTCATTGGATGAGCAGACAGTGGCTTYATCTGTTCTATACTTGCAAAGAACTGAATGCTCAGCAATTAATGCATGATATGTCAGACTTTAAAGGTTTTTTTTTTTTTTTTTTAATTTCTGTATTTCAGGTTGAGCGTTGTTACTACTTTTTAAATGCCTTTGTGGAAACAGCTCAGAAAAAGGAGCCAGTGGAAGGAAGACTGGTGCAATTCCTGCTCTCCAACCCCACGAATGATGGTGGACAGTGGGATATGTTGGTYAACATTATTGGTGAGAGAACTGGTCACTAGGAGCCCTTCCTGAAATTACAGCCTGGTTTGGGAGATGGGGAATGGAACAGAATAAGAATTGGAGTTTGAGACCTAGGAATTGGCTAAGGCACACAATGCCATTAACCACTATATTTTTTTAATCAATTACTTTTTTGGGCCAGATTATAAATATCAGGCTTAAATATTGTCTGGCATTTCTTTTGCATATTGCTAATGATAAAAGCTCAGAAGATCGACAGAAATAACTACATAGCCCAGACTTTCCATTTAGTAAGAAGGTTCAATTCTGTTTTACACAAGTCATCAACTTCATTTATTTATATCCATGTACACAATTTTTAGGGCACATGGTGGGGAAAACCCATTGCCAGACCTGGGTGTGTCTACAAAGCAGGAGCAAAACTACTTGGAAGTGCAATCTGAAGTTGATACAAAGATCAGTGAGAGGGAATTGATGTGGAATGTGGCAGTGCTGGTCTTGCAAAGATCCAGCAGAAATGGRATCCTGCCCTGCTGGAGATACTTAATTACAGCAACACTTTCTTTCTTTTGTGTTGTGAAACAATGTGACACCTTTGTAAATCAACAAGCCAATAATACAAATTTAGAATCACAAAAGGAATTTGTTTCTTTGAAGCCTGGAGGTTCTTTTTTTCCTCATCCCATTGCTATAAATACATAATCAGGGCAGAGATTTTGGCTGCTGCTGTTACATCCAGAGTCTTGCACGGGGAGATCTGAGTGGTACTGTAATATGGGAAGCCACTGAGCTGCTGCTGGAGTTTTATAAATGTTGAGGAGGAAAGGAGACTGGCAAGTCAGTTAACCTTAAATAAACTGCATGGAGTGATTCATMGGAAGCCCAGTTTTTAGAGTGTATTTCAGGAGATTAATTTTAAAATGATCACGTTTTCTTTTCCTGGTGAGCAGAGCTTCCTAATTAATTCAGAGCTTTTAAGTGTTGAGTTAAATGATACTGAGCAGTTCAGTGATTCCACATTCTGGGATCCCTGTGGAATGCAGATCAGAGGTCGAGATTCAGTCACAAATTAAAATGTAAACTTCGAGTACTTATAACCTTTAAAAAAGAGCCTTTCCCTTATAATCTCTGCACAAACCCAAACTCTCTTTATCWTTTTCGTGGGTATAAGCAGAAGTGTGAGCATCTGTTGTGTGAAAAAGTCAATTGTTAACCTGTATTTTACTTCTTTTAGAAAAGTATGGTGTTGTCCCCAAGAAATATTTCCCAGAGTCTCATACCACRGAGGCTACTAGAAGGATGAATGAGATCCTGAATCATAAGGTAAAATTGATTTAGATGATATAACTTAGAGGAGAGATGGGAGTGAACCTGCTCCAAAGGTTCCTAACCATCTTATCTTTATTGACCTAAGTGTTAAGCRCATCTCAGCAACTTAAATTAATTTACAAG